TCCTGCTTAGTTAATTCCTCACGTTTCAATGGCACATAATGGGCTCAGGTAAAAATTTCTGAGGACCCAAATTGACCTCAGAGGGAAAGGAAACGGCTTTTGTGTGTCTACTCTTTTTCTTAGCGAGTCCGTGATGATTTCAGCTTCAGTTAGTAAGAGCCATTCCCCTTTACAGCCAACGTGGTAAATTGTTCCCATTTCTCTTCTGATGTTTTTTCTCTGACAAACCATTCTTATCATAGAATCAGCTGGGTTGGAAGGGACCTCTGAGATCATCAAGTCCAACCCCTGATCCAACACCACCGTGGTTACTAGGCCATGGCACTAAGTGCCACATCCAGTCTCTTTTTAAAAATCTCCAGGGACAGAGAATCCACTACTTCCCTGGGCAGCCCATTCCAATGTCTGACCACCCTCTCTGTAAAGGCAGATCTCTTTCTGTCACTTTTGTCGGTGCTATTGTGTTACAGATTGTTCGGGGTGCCTGTTCAAGGCCTGCGATTAGGACTTGCAAAAGATCTGTGAGAATTTCTTTGTTTAGTTTTTTTCCTAACTCATCCGAGGGGCTCACAGACAGGCCCTGCCTTCCTGCTCTAGCCAGTGTGAGGGTCGGAAGGAGACAGGAGTCAGATGCGGAGGCCCGGGGTAAGAGTTAAAATAAACCCTTGGGAGACAGAAATTACATTTCTAAATAATTGTTTTTCTGTTTTTCAAACAATACCGTGTGGCCCGCTGCTAGGAGCAAGCTCAGTGACTCGGTGTCCTTAGGACTGACTGAATATTGGGAAATCCAGCTTTTAGTTTGTATTTTTTGAAAAGGGTTTGCTTCTGCTATCTTGACAGCATGGAGTAGGAAAGCAGCAAGAGGTTATCAAAAAATGTGTATTGGAATTAACTGGTCAGCGTCTGGAGGGTGCCAGGGTGCGGTCACCAGCATGTAAAGGCAGACATCTGTGGGATGCTTTGGGTTCCAGAGATATTTTTATGAATGAAAGGTGCTTATGACAGGAATGCATGCTGGAATAGGCAGTGCTAATGGAGAGTCTCTACAATCTCCTTATCTTCACAGTAAATCTGCCCCTGAAGATAAATGTTTAATAACGTTCCAATTTGGTTGCACTTGGTAAAAGTGATTGAACTAATGACCCATAATCCAACGGATCCATTTGTAGTGAATAGCACTAGGGGTTCAATCCCGTGCTGCTGATTTAGCAAGATATCTGCTTAATTTACCACGTTCCACTGTTGCAGCGCTTGCTCAGGGATCAAATGAAATGATTTACCTGGCAATGAGTGTAGTCTTCCTTTCAGCTGCAAATGGGCAACGATTTCTTTATATGTCTAAAAATTAACAAAACTCTCACATGCTCTCGTAAATCAGTAAATCTGAGTGTGAGAGGTAGAAATTTGAGATTTTTTTTTTATAGTTTATTCAGATAACGTGTGGTGGTAGCTGTGTACAAAAACTTCTGGTGCAAATACTTGTAAATATGTGTCTGAAATTTGCTTTGGTCAGTAAATACTTGTGCATTCAAATAACTTTTTCCTGCAAACATTAAAGAAAGGTGGAACTATGGCCAAAGTAAATTTGTATCACACTTCAAACAAATACCTGTGGAATTCTTTCTGTTTGGCAAATGAAGCGCTCCTAATCACTTCAGTGGGAATCTGTCTGGTCTAAGGAATGCAGGATCTTGACCTAAGACCCCTGCTAACACTTACGTAATGAGACCCACTGAACCATGTGGGACTACTTATGCACATGAGTAATTTTATGGACAACTCTGTGCAATATGCAGGTCCAGGACAGCGATTATGACTGCAGTCACCGATTGTTGATTGCCAAGTAACAGACTTGTGTATTAGGTTAGAGTGCCAGTGACCCCAGTCATGTTTTCCTGCTGCTGCACTGTGGATGGTCTCCTCTTCCTTCTAACCTAACTCTTGTAGAGGACAGTTGCTTTCATAAATCCTGAAAAATCTTACAGTAGCTATTTACTCACGAGTTTTTTTGGTAGATTGAAATGACTGGCCTGCATTCTAGGAACTTCCTGTAATAAAAAATAAATGCATAAATAAATAAGCCCCCCCTTCTGCTGTCACTCAAGTATTTGTTTCTTGGTTCCAAAGTTCTGCAGTTCAGAGTAATGATAATTGAAGCTCAGAGTAATGATAATTGGGTGGAACTGCGTGGGGAAACTATTTTTTTCAGTACTTTTCTGAAAACTGTTTTCTTTTTCAAGCATTGCTCCTAAGTTTGAGGTGTTTTATTGCCAAGTCTTTACACAAGGAATGTGTTGAGACAACTAGATCCTGATACCTCAGCTCATACTCTCAGGTTTTGCAGCCTTGCCAGTAGCACCTTATTAAGGACCTAGACTGAACAGTGACTGATAGGAATAATCTTTCCACTATTACTAAATAGTGTAGTAATTTGAGAGACTAAGTGGGGCTGCAGGGACAGACACAGCAAAACAATGAAAGCAAAAAGATTTTCTTCACAGCCTGAAAATTCTGTCCTACACATCTGATGGTAATGGGTGATGCATCAGAAGGTTTGCAGCAAAACTGAGACATGTGCTTGATTTCAAAAGCTTCATTATATATATTTTTTTTCTTTTAATTGCAGGTGTGTAAAGCAGGCTCAAGGCAAGGAAGGGAAGTAGCCTAAACAGACAGTATTGATGTTCTGTCCCCTTTTTTATCCTCCATAGTAAATTAGACTAGTTTCCATCTTCTAACCCTTGTGTAAGATCATGCACACCTTCCAATGTAAGCATTCCTGTTTAAACATCTACCATAACATCTGTTTTTCTGCCCACTGTCCTTCATTTCTCTCTCTGTTTAATCTGGCTAGTTACTGGCACACTAATTTTATTAGGAAAAACCTGGTTCAGCGGATGAGAGTCAGTGGTCATTGTATCCCATGTCTTCAGGACTGCCTACTACTGCAAGTCCACTGAAAATTTCATTTTCTCCTCAATGTGATAGGGTAGGGCTTAATCTGGATGATCTGCACAAACTTTAAAGGGGTATCTGGGGGGGAAATGACCAGCACATTCTAGAAAAAAATAAGTCCCACTTTCTGCAAGGGAAGATTTGTAGGGAAAAGCAGGTTCTCTTGTTACACTGACCAATATAGCTGGGAAGAGAGAGAATAGATAAGCTTTTAGGCATGCAAGCCCTTTTCCAGGTCTGCTAATTACCTACCCACTTAATGCAGTCTGTGCTTGTGTTTTCCTATAAATGTTTCATACAAATGTTTCATACTGGATTTTGTAAGAAGATATGGTTTGTACTGTATTACTCGTTTCTTCAGTTAAAGAGATTTCATGTGAATATCTGTGAAGATCGGCTCTAGTTTCAAAAGGTAATTCAAAGCCTGCTGTAATGAAATTGAGAACATCTTGGCCAGGGTCTATACAGTTTTCTCTATATCTCTGCTCATAGAGTGAGTTTTAATAGCATTATTGTTTTAAAACAAAACAAAATCACAAATAGAACAAGCAAGCAAGCTAGACTGGCTAGACTAACAACCCCAAAAACAGAAATTCATTTGGTTTCTCCCTTCTAGCAGGGGGACAGCATAAACAGTGCCAGGTCCAGGTCCACAAACACACTCATATGCAAATAATATCCAAAGACAGGACAGGCCCCACATAGGTCTCACACTCTTCAATGAAGCAGTGGCAGAGACAATTGTGTGGTGGGTGTGTGGTGGACCAAGGCTGAGACTGGCCAGGGTCCAGCTAACTTCAGACCATTTTTATGTGGCAGTCCATGGATGAGAGCTTGCCCTTACCCCTTTTGTCTAAGTCTTCTTCACTTCTCAAGTTCTTGCATAAACTCATTTGCTGCATCTTGTGTGATAATCTTCAAGTGCTGCTGTGAAAGTCAGGAATAACACATAGGTGAACTCTGTGTGTGGTTTCACCTACTTAATAGTGAATAGCTCTCCACAGCTGCCCAGACTTTCAAGGAGGAAGTAGTGTAGGTTTTTAGTTCCAAATAGAATGATGTAGGTTTTTTCTTTATAATACAGAATTAAAATAACATCAATTATAATTTTTTGTCTTTTCAAGTATCTATACCTTTTCTGCGATCTGCTAACATGAATAAGAAATGCAAAATGATCATTTAAGAAGTCTGTTCTAATTATAAGCATTTTTTTATCCATATAAAGTACTGTTCCAGTCACCTTGAAATTTCCCTCAAGAGAATGGCTGCTAAAAATTTCATGTGCTTTTGCTCTAAAATACTGGAGGGCTCTGTAGCTGATTATCCTGTAATAATGAATATAAAGACTTTGCCTTATACGTGATACAATGAGGAAATTCTTGATATTCTTGTAGACCAGTAGCATTAACATTTTTGCAGTAAGAGGGCAACTTGGTATCTGTGACCTGATGACTCTTACTTGTTTTTAAAAAAGCCTTCATAAATCCCTTGTGAATCTCTTGGTTAGAATGGGAAAAAAAAATCCTCCACTGTTCTTTAGTAGAGTCTGTTTCTGAATACTTAAAAACTGTAAATAGAATTGGAAAAGCTTTCTTATTCCTACTTGGAAGAAAATCTATGTTCAGACCATGACTAACCTGCAACCAGTCATTTTAAGCTGTTGCCTCTAGCTTAGTCTATTATTCTGTGACAAATCTGTTATGATTTTTCCCCCCTCAATTGAAATATTGACATGAATATTAATAGCTGACATCACTGGTTTTGATGCAGTTTGATATAAAAGTCAGATTCCTTTCTACCTTCTCATCTCTATAATTACTAGACCATAAGGACATGATTACAAACATAAAATCATTATCTTGGGGATGAGCATCCTCCTGTAGAGTTGACAGATGTAGTGTCTGAAGGCAGAAAGTACTATTTGTGCGCTCTCCTTAACTTGTAAGGTGTGGCATTCAAGATGCTTTGGTGTTGGGGCCATTGCAGGGAGGCTTTAATTTTTAAGGAACTTTTCATTAATGGGTATGTTCTTTCTTTTTCAGGTGTCTTTGAATCCTGCAGGAACTGAGTGGCTTCTTGCAGCAAAATAAGAGTGCAGAAAGCATTGAACAACTGACCGCGGTGCAGTGTGGCCGAGATCCCTGGACAAACATACAGGAAGGCAAACGGTGAAGGCAGCAATGTCTCACCTCAGGGGACTGGGAAAAGTATGGTGATATCTGGGCACAGAGAACCCACATCAGTTGGACTCTCCTCTGAAGCACGGGGGAAAGAAGAGACCACATAAGCGTTGTTGGAGGGGAAATCTGCTCTGATGAACGAAGAGCTCTGAATGGCAAGTGTGTGTCACAGATGTGCGGTGTCCTCCTGTGGGGTTTGGGTGCTAGACTCTAATGAAGCCATCAGTGTCGTCTGAAGGGAATAATGCAAAGGGATTGTTAACAAATGGGTAGCTAAGACGACTAATTCGCCAGAGACGTTAAATCATTTCAGTCCCACAAAGAGATGAATGGGCTGGGGCAAATGTTGCTAAAGAAAAGTGCATTTCAAAGAGCAGCTGGTGAGGAGGCTTCAAAAGATCTGCCGAGGACCACTTGAGAGAACTCCTCACCTTGCTGCACTAGTGGCAGTTTTACCATTCAGTTCACTGGGACCAGGATTTTGCCCTGGGAGTTAAGATTAGAGAACTCTGTGTTCTGGTGAACAATCTCAAAGCGGAGCTTGGAGGTTTTTCTATGGTCTTTAGTTGCAGTGCCTATGGTAACTTGAAATGAAAGACATGTGTCGAGCTAGTGATAACTGATGGAAGGAAAACCATTTCCAGCCTTTCCTTGCTCTCCAAAAATAATCATCATCACTTAGATTTAAGAAATAAATAGTCTGATGAGAAAATAAGTATATAAATGCTACCTTATGTACTTTAGCTGTTCCTGTGCTTGGAATGTTTAACTTCTGGTGAAAATATTAGTGAGGTTTTTATATTTGTGCTCAAAAGGATTGAATGAGTGAGACAATTTGACCAGCATGCTAAATTTGGAGCCTGGGAACAAACATTTCTGGAAAGAAAAAATATAATCCATGTCAATTGTTGATTGTAGAGTTCAAGGGTACCCGCACTGGAGACTGTCCATTTTTCAATAATTACTGGATTTTAAGATATGGCTTAGTTGAAAAATAGTATAATAAGCATTAGTTTTGTCTCTCAGAACAAAGACTTTTTTCGGGAAAAACCTGATAATGAAGAACATATGTGCACTGTACACAACTCTTAGAGTATTCCAGTCAGTTACTTGCATATTATCACATTTTACCTAATTAGATATTCATCTTAAAGTTCTTGATTTTAAATTATTATGGGAATGCTGATTTCCATATTTGTTATTTATTGATATACCTAATATAGTTTGAGGGAAAGATCTGAAATCTAACTTAACATTTTCAAACATAAGTTAACAAATTAAAAACATTCCAAAATTATGTAAATTATTTTCTTATTTAAATTCTGGGTTCTTGAAAGCTTAATATAGCTGGAGGGTTGTTTTGGCTCTTATAGAACTTATAGGAATAATGCTTGTAATTGAAAATTAGTGGAACCTCGGGTTTTGTGGCTTGTGATTTTTGCAACACCTAAAACCTGTTCTGTTGTCTCCAACAGTAAACACAGAGAAAAATTTAGGATACTTTCTTGTGAAGCTGAAATGCATTCCTGCTGCGGAGCAGATAACTGGTGTCTTTTGATGAACAAGGGGCAATATTTTTATTGTTAGTTTACCTCATGCTGTACCTGTGAAAAAACCCTCAAATTTAATAAACTTATAAGCCTTTAAAAAATCTCTGTGTATGTGTACATAGTTCGGTGACGTTTTTGAATGAGATCTGGAAAAAATCCATTAATATTGCTTTCCTCTCTCTTTGGTCTTTGTTTTTGCCAGGTTTGCTTCTCCTGGAAGGACGCTTTACCAGCCACACTGTTACTACTCCTGGGCACATAAGACTTGAAAATGGGTAAGTTACAGTTGAATGCAATTTTTAAAGGTGTTTGTTAACAAGTGATGATTTAAAATCTTTTGCTTTTTATTCTTGCCTTTCAGAACATTAAGGTTCTAACCCAGTTCCCACTGTACTCTAGAGCAGTTTTCTAGTTGGGATTACATCCCAGTAGTTTAACAAGGTACACTCTGTCATTGTTTATTGCTGTGGTTTAAAAATATTTGAGTGGTTGTAGGATCTGGACTTCTGTTTCCAGACACCTGACAAAGATCTCTCTCTTTTTTTGATAGTCTCAATCACCATACTGCAGCACTAATGCTGTCTGCAAAGTAACACTGATGCTTAATAATTTACTGAAGGTCGGACATCTTCAGATTTAATAGTGGTTCAAAATGGTTTAAATGCTGGCAGAGGTATTACTTTGACAAATAACTACCCTTGAAGCCTTATTTTTAGAAGAAATGGCTAATGCAGTTTGCATTCGTGTGTTTTTAAAGTGCCATCCATGTGATGTTTCTTACCAAAGGGGACACTTGTAGCACTGTGCTAGAATTTTTTTCCTGTTCACTTAAGAGAGTTGTTTGAAACCTTACATAGCCTCTTCCTAAAATAAATGTTTTTCGCAGGTGTTCCATTCAATAAATATTGCTGGGAGCTTTCTAGGGTTTTTTTCTTGCTGTTTTTAAGCTACGTTAATAAAGCTTGGTCTTTTTTGTGATACAGTTTTAACTTGTAACATAACATTTAGCAAGAAAAATGTATGTATTTTGATCTGAACGAGTTCTTTCCCCTAAACACAATTGCAGCATATCCTGTGCAGCCTAGAGGAGGCTGCTCCTGTGCTGACAGATTTGAAGGCTGTCAGTGTTTCCTTTCATGCACCTGACTACTTCTATGCAACAGAAACAAACTGAGGGGCCTTCTCATGCTTAGAGTGAGAAGAGCATCTCTGCTCTCACTTTGAATTCCTTCAAAGGCTTTAAGGGATGCTTCACTGTATTCAGAAACATGCCCTGTAATGAACTGGTTTGTAGCTCGTAGAAGGCCCTCCTGTCGAATATTGAAGATGTACAGTTGTTCTTTGCCCCTGAAACCCACCGTGAGAGGCTGTAGGAGAGTAATTATTTGTGAGGATGTAGCTGTTTGCAGATGAAGGTTAAATTATCTTGGGCAGAACCCAAGGAAACCAATATTCACTCACTTTGACCCCGATTCTTCCCTGTGTGGAGTCAGGCCTCTAGAGCAAGATTGCCTGAGAGGCAGAAAGCTCAAGTTCAGGATGCAGGGGCAGAAGTGTTTCCTTTATGTATAAAATAAGAAAAAATAAGCAAAGCTGATCGTTCACATGCATCTATACCCAGGTAACACAGAGGAATGTCCAGAAATCACGTACGAGTTTTGAAAACCTTGACTATCACTGAGTGTAGAATTTTGTTTGTCACAGCAAACTGGTAAAAGGTCTTGTAAAAAACCTAGTTAAAATAGCCTTTCTGGCTTCCAGCCTTGCACATTGCCCAAGAAAATAACAAAGAACAGCTTGTTACACTGCACCATTTCCCCTATCCCCACTGAGTTTTTCCCTGTATCATTTGTGGGCGGAATATGAACTGTGTTTGTATCTGGAGGCATAATTTGACCTTTGAGACCTTTGCCACTGCAAATGATGCAAGAAAAATGAAAGTCACAGTTGATGTTCATGTACCAGATCAAGTACCTGATCGAGTTTGAAAAAAGTACAGTTAGAGAAAATGTTTCTTTGCTGGCTACTGGCTTCGCCATGTGAACTGCCCTGGCTTGTCTCTTAAAACTCAGAGCAAATCCTTTTACCAGTAAAAAGAGGCAACACAGAGTATATGTCAGTGCAGTGACAGAATAGTGCAAAATATCAGGAAAGGAAAGAAATGGAGAGAGTATTTTTTACCTTTTTTTCTATTGCTGTCTTATAGATTGACTAGGAATTGATTGTTATCCTGTAGGGCAGGGCTGCTTCACCTCTGCCTGCTTGTCTGCAGCTTCTGAGGGTAGAGCTGAAGCGCAGCAGCAGTTTGAACATGCCCTGGCTTTTGCAAAGGGCATTGAGAGACTGAGGAGGGATTGAAGGGCTGGGGAGTTTCTGACTTGTGCCATCCCTGTGTCCTGAGTGGGTCCAAAATGCTCCGTGCAGGCCAGACTGCAGTTTATGTGGCTGTCATAGCCAGAGTGGGCTTTGATGAGCTCATCTGGCCCACATGTCTAATGATGCAGATACATGCTTCTGCTGTAATCTTCCCCTTAGAGCTTCCCAAAACCAAACTGCATTGACTGCATTACTGCACCAGTGATCACTGGCTGTGCTGCGTGTCATTGAATCCTAACATGCTTCTCACTTATTCCTAACAGCAAAATTTCTTGGAGGCACAAGGTATATCTGTTGTTCTTGTTTGCATTTCTCACCCTTGACCGTTGTTTTGTGTGTGTGTGATGACTCTTACCAGAAACAAGACCTACTCCTTTCCCCTAAAGTAGCCTGCAACTTAGTTTTTTGGAGATTGCAGTACTTGTCTGTCAGAAGATGATTCACATTGGCTGGCTGAGGTGCATAGCAGAAATGCCTGAGCAGATTACAAACTAGCTGCCTCTTCCTTTGAGACTCTCTGCAAGGGAAAGGAGCACATGGTTTACAGCTGGCAAATTCTGAGGCAGCTTTGCTGCTCATTAACATCCAGTATGGACAACCCCTCAACGCCCTGATCTTTCCTGTTTTTCGGGACAGGGGAGCTTGCTGTGCAGACCTTAGCAGGAGTGTCTGAATGAGCAGAAGGGATTCAGTCTCAGTGAGGAGAATGTTGACTGAATCCTGCTCTGCAGTTTTGCAAGACTGTCTGAAACTGGAATGCTACCCTATGTAAAAACAGAAGCAGTCTTTGGATTGTTTTGTGTTTACGTTCATCTGGTTTGAAGCTGAATAGAACAGGAACATCTGAATTACGGCCTCTGATAATGACAAACTTCTTTGTCATCAGAAACCACGATGAAGCTGCCTAGTGAAGTGCTTTTATAAACTCTTGAAAACATAAACCCAAGCAGTGTTAGCAATCTGAATCATCAAAGCAGAAGCGTTTCTTAGAGAGAGGATTCTCACATTCTTACAGGCACTTAAAATAATTGTTTACATTGTGATCTGGTAATTCAGAGAATGATGAGGCTGAAAAGGGGGTTCATGACCTGTAGCATGAAAGTAAATCTAGTTTGATAGGAATTTTCAAATGTAGTGGTTGCTTTCCTTTAACTTTGGATTTTGGTCTTGTTCAGTGTTCAGCAAGGACCACCAAAATGCAGCTCTGCATCACAATTTGCCCAGTTCCAAAGCTCATGTACAGAATATTTTCTGTGATCCACAGAAGTGCAACTCCAGAAAAATAAATAAATATATGTATGTATATACATGCAAATGAAAAACTGTCTACAAAATAGAATATTTTATTTGGATTTTCCATGTGCTTCTGCTACTTCTCTAAACTTCCTGAGAGGAGGAATATTTCTTTATTCTCTCTGGTACATGAGCAGCTTCTGAGGTGGGTACTGACCCCACCTTTTGGGGATGAGCCTTGCCTGGAATTGACAAGAGTATGTATTTTATAGTGCCTACTGCACTGAACATGATGGTTTTGCTGCCTAGAATTTTCTTATGGAAAAATTTTTGGAGTTTAGTTCTACCACTGATTTCACCCCCCTCCCCCTCCCCGTTGTTTTTCCCAGTGAGTGAGTCACTTTGTTTCCAAGATTTGCCAAGCCCTGCACATTGAGTATTGGATGTGCAGTTGACTCTGTGCTGGAGTTTTACACAGTTTGCAGTGTATGTGGCAGGTTTTACCAGTCCTGCCTTCATCCATTACATGGACAAAAGCCCTGCTATCTTCCAGACTTCCTGCTTCTCACACAGTGCTCTTACTTCCACACAGAAAGTGCCAGGTATTTTACCTGGTATGTGACAGCCTGTAGCAATGGCTCAGTGTGTGCAGGATACAGTTTGATCTGTCCATCAGGCAGGTCTGAGCATTTGGAACACTGAGATGAAGCTGAGGGCTGGGATACTCTGGTTTTGTGCACTGGAAAGAGGGAAAAGCCCAAACCCATGGCTAGATGTCCTACTACTGTGTTCATAAGAATATTGGAATATAAAAAGATGTGTGTATATAAAGGAGTTATAATCCTCTTGATTTTCCTGCCTTTTCATTGGCATCTGGCCCACGAGAATTTACAGAAATAAATCCCCCCGTTTTCCTCTGCACACAAGTAAAAAACAAAAACAGTTCCTAAAGTTCCCAGGACTCCTATTAAAAATATCACACAAGTCTCAATAGCTTAAACAAAAGGAGTAATTAGGAGTAATTATAGATTCCTTTCATAAGGCAAACATACTGCAGTGACTTCACTTTTTGTTCTTCCAGGAGGGCACCCTGTGCAATCCCTTCAGGGATAGCCTTGGGAGTACTGTCTGGAAGGACATCTCTGGTGCTGGGGGCTCTAACACTGGCCCTGCTCTCCTGGCGTGCTGGATCTTTCTTTAGAGCTACAGGTGGCAGGAGACCTAAGGCTGGAGTGTTGTTTTGGGTATATAGCTCATCATCTTCAGCAGAAAGGGCATAGCAGGGAAAATAATGAAATTCTGCCTAAAACGGGTATGCTTCCAAACAGGAAAAACAAAAATCAATAATCCAAAGAAAGCCTTTAGAAATTAATAAATACATAAGGTAACTTGGGATTTCCACACAGGTGATCTCTATCCATAGCCATCTGATCAATTTTTATTTTTGCAGGCATTTGCAGGCAGTGGTTTTTCTTTTACAATTAACAATCTGAAAACATGAGCAACTGTAGTAACTTAAAGGAATTCTAACAGTGTTTTTTAAACAAAAGTAAAAATTGTGGTATTACTGCAAAATTTAAGTCATGGATCTGCTACTGGATTTATAGGGGAAGGTAAAAAGGAATTTTTATAGTATCCTTTAGAAAAAATTTATAATAGACACCGT